TAGTTCCTCTCACGGCAAGTGCGGGCGAGCAGGTACACTTCACATCCCCGCGATGGAGTGGGCGTGGCTGTGTACCACTGAAACGTGGCGTAGAATGTGTTGTTCGTGAGATATTTCAAAGATACTTGTTGTTCTATTTTATTCTGGGCAAGGTCATGTTTGCAACTGTTCTGAAATTACAGCATCCCTGCAAAAGTGCAGCCTCCCCCACGCTTGAATGAAGTACGCAACCACGGACTCTCCATCTGTGGGATATGGGGTGTACGTCAGAACCTTCGTTGGCTGTCTTTCTGAAAAGTGCAACAATTAGAGTTCACATAGGAATCGATCCCATGACCTATTGCGTATGACAACCGATCGGTAGCAGTTGCGCCTCACTTCCACGTTATTTATTCTCCCCTCGCTAATGTGAGGACGCTTCCAAAGCACGAAACAACGACGCGTCAAGAAAAACATTAAAAACTCCGAAGAATCGTCCAGCAATTTCGAAGAAACATTCGTGCTGTTCCCAAGCACTCCTTTCGGTATACGTTACATGGCAAGTGGTTGGACTGACCTGTTTACCGTCCCTGGGAGGTATCTTTTGGTTCGACGAACTTGTCGAATTCTCAGGCATCAAATATTTTACAACAAAAACCCTGTATGGCGCAATGCAGAAATTACTTCTTAAAGGCAGTTGGCACGATGATTTGGTGCTCGGCCTAAAATGCTAGTAGGGCGCTATATAGTGGGGAAAGAACGGAGTGAAACGGTCAAAATCCTGCGAAGAAAGAGCCTCCGTTCTCAATGTGTTAGAAATCAATTGGACGAGTTTCCTGTAGGCATCTTGCCAATAACCGCTACCGAAGGTACGGCTGCATATGTGTACTCATATATCCATGCAGCATCACGGCCGCTTCATACCAATCCCTTCGCTTCATAATTTGCTTAGCAAATGAATCGATTAGAGCGTCAGGAACGGTCGTCCATTTGTGGGCGGGCGGGCGTGGCGGGCGTTTGGGTATGTTGTGGCTTGATAGGGCCCTTATAAGGGCACCTCCCTTGGAAAAGGCATTATGCAGCGCCTGCTCAGGGTCGCGGAATTCCGTCCTGCCAGGCGTATTAATCCTACTCGTCTTGGGGGATTTATCGTGCCAACTGCCTTTGAGCGTTTGGGACTGTTGCAGCAACGGTCACTGTTTCTCATAAGCTTTTTCTGACCTGCTTTTTTAGGGCGGCAAAATGTTTCGACCAACGATTGCTCTGCTGATGGCGAATGTATGCAATGCTGCAGCTCCGAAATCCGTCAGGTATGAGCCGTTCGGTGTTCGTGCTGCTTCTTTTTGTAGACTTGGCTTGTTGTAGGTTAGAATGTGGCACTGACGAGGTCTCACTTAATCAGTACAAAATCGGCATGATCAGTGAAATGATACACACCGCAAGTTTGGTACATGACGATGTAATCGATGGAGCGGACACCCGACGTGGCAATGCTTCCGTTAATGCAATTTGGGGAAATAAAATGGTATGAGCTCAATAAATATCATTTTTGTATGAAGCAAATGCAATGAATCCGGTGTTCTTTGTTCGTTTTTGTGATAACTACTGCTGTAAATCGGC